CAGGTCCTGATACATCTTCGTGCTACCAGGATGGATGGTGTACGGGGCACTATGGGTCTCCCTCAAAATCTCCCTTCGCAGCTCCCACACCTTCGGGACACAAAGTCTACCCTCAAAGACCAAGGCCCCATCAGATGCGACTGCGAATCCACCAATTCTACCGGCTTTCGACAACTCTCTCATCTGGCATAGGAAACGGTCATTCGGTTTCTCGGTGACTATCCTCTCTCGAAGAGTCGGTCCCACAACCAAAGAGGCCAACACGCCCCCGGCTGTCAAAGTTGACTCCACTGCCTCCAACTGTAATCGCTCGAACTCCCGAAGTAGAACATCCTGCTTGGTGAACAAGCAAGACAGCTGGCCATAACTCCTCCGGCTAAGGGCATCGGCTACCACGTTAGCTTTCCCAGGGTGATAGCTAATGGCGCAGTCGTAGTCCTTGACCAGCTCCAACCATCTACGCTGCCTCATGTTCAGCTCCTTCTGAGTGAAAATGTACTTTAGGCTCTTGTGGTCGGTAAAGATCTCACACTTGCCTCCATAGAGGTAGTGCCGCCAAATCTTCAAGGCGTGGACAACTGCAGCTAACTCGAGATCATGAGTGGGGTAGTTCTGCTCGTGAGGCTTCAGCTGCCTCGAAGCATAGGCTACGACTTTCCCCTGCTGCATAAGGACACATCCCAAACCCATCTTCGAAGCATCACTATAGATGGTGAACTCCAAAGTAGGGTCGGGTATAGATAGGACAGGCGCGGTAGTGAGTCTCCTCTTCAACTCCTGGAAACTCTCCTCGCACTGAGGACTCCAATCAAACCTCACGGCCTTCTTCGTAAGGTTGGTAAATGGCTGGGCTATCTTCGAGAAGCCCTCGATAAACCTCCTGTAGTATCCTGCTAACCCCAGGAAACTACGAACATCTGCAGCACTTCTTGGCGTATCCCACTTGCTCACAGCCTCAATCTTGCTGGGATCTACCTCAATGCCTCGAGCTGTCACAACGTGGCCAAGGAATGCAACACGGTTCAACCAGAACTCGCACTTCGAGAACTTAGCATACAACTTGTCGCGGCGAAGAGTCTCCAGCACAATCCTCAAATGCTCCTTGTGCTGATCGATTTCTCGGGAATAGACCAGAATGTCGTCGATGAACACAATGACGAACTAGTCCAGGAA